ATATATATAATGAAATATTAAGAAAAACAAAACAAACTAAACGTAAATAATTATTACAATTTCACATTTTGTTTATGCTCACCATTTTATTTAATATATTAAGACATTGTTTCACTAAATACAAAATTTTACATATTGTAATCCATCGATTGCGTTTTAATTTAGTATATATAATTTTCACCGTAAAACTTAAAATATTACATTTATTCATATTAATTTATACATGCATAAAAGTTTAAAATTAAAAAATTATGTTAATGATATACAAAAAGTAAACTTATTTCTTAAAAAATTTATATCCGCACACGGTGTGGGAAATCACCTAGTTATAGTAGTAAATAATAAACGTTTTGTTTTTTTTTGTTTTTTGGTCGGGAGAAACGTTTTGTTTAGATTATAAAGATACTGACTTCAAATCATAAATATAAAGATTGTAATATGAAAATTAATTACTCTAAAATCGAAGTTTTACAATTCTGGGTAGTAATATTTAATTCTTTATTTTTATCAGAAAAAATATTTAATTCTTTATCCCATTGTTTGGAGAAGGTATAATTGCAATTTTTTTTTTAATTAATCTAAACAAACTATTTTTAAATTTGTTTGTTTCTGCATATTTGCTTTTGTTTTTAAAGTATGAATTTTAGCTAAAAAATCACACGTCTAAGCAAACTCCATGTCCGCCCTGAAATCTGTCTCTTCCTATAGACTCGCGACTCTCCTCCGCCGTGAGAATGATCCGTCCGCCGCAATTAAGCTTTTCCGAAACCCTTTTCCAGAATCAACAAACCCCAAAAAACCCTTCAAATACTCACTTCTTTGCTACGATATCATCATCACGAAACTCGGTAGCTCCAAGATGTTCGAAGAGCTAGATCAAATACTTCTCCAGCTCAAGACTGATACTCGAATCGTTCCTACAGAGATTATATTTTGTACCGTGATCAATTTCTTCGGCCGTGGAAAGTTACCCAGTCGTGCGCTCCACATGTTCGACGAAATGCCTCAATACCGTTGTCAACGCACTGTGAAATCCGTGAACTCTCTGTTGAATGCGCTTTTGAAGTGTGGGGAGTTTGAAAAAATGAGGGAACTTCTTTTGAGTATTGATAAGTTTGGTAAGCCAGATGCTTGTACTTACAATATACTGATCAATGGATATTCAAAGACCGGGTTTTTCGATGATGCTTTGAAGGTATTCGATGAAATGGTTAAGAAAAAGGTAAAGCCTACTGGTGTAACCTTTGGGACATTGATTCATGGGTTGTGTAAGAATTTGAGGTTGAAAGAAGCGTTGAAGATGAAGCAAGATATGTTAAAAGTGTATGGAGTTTGTCCCACAGTTCATATTTATGCGTCGTTGATTAAAGCGGTATGTGGAATCGGTGAATTGAGTTTAGCGTTTAAGTTAAAGGACGAGGCGTATGAAGGAAAGATTAAAGTAGACTCAGCTATCTACTCTACGTTGATTAGCTCGCTTATAAAAGCTGGAAGGTCTAGCGAGGTTTCGGGGATCTTGGAAGAAATGAGTGAAAAAGGATGCAAACCCGACATAGTGACTTACAATGTACTGATTAACGGTTTCTCTGTTGAGAACGATATCGAATCAGCTTATCGAGTTTTGGATGAAATTGTAGAGAAGGGTTTGAAACCAGATGTTATAAGCTACAACATGATCCTTGTCGCCTTGTTTAGAATCCAAAAATGGGAAGAAGCAACTTACTTGTTTGAAGACATGCCTCGAAGAGGTTGCATCCCTGATGTCTTATCTTATAGGATAGTTTTCGACGGGCTTTGCAAAAGTTTACAGTTCGAAGAAGCAACAATTATCTTGGACGAAATGCTTTTCAAAGGCTACAAGCCTCACAGAGATAGGCTAGAAAGATTTCTGCAAAGACTAAGTGAGATTGGAAAGTTGGAAATTCTCGGTAAAGTTATCGGTAGCTTGCATAGAGGAAATGCTATTGATTCAGATCTCTGGTCGGTTATAATAGCTACAATGTGCAAAGAACCTGTGATATTATATTCTATTGATTTGTTGTTGAACACATTAAAGGAAGAAGTTCCTTTATCAGCAATACCGCGATGCTAGGTCACTTGTGGTGCAAGTTGGTGTTTCCTTGAACCTTGTTCAGGTGTGTAAGAATGATTCAAGGGCACGATCAGTATCATTGAATGAAGGTGTTGAAGAAGTCCTAAGTTTATCTGATTCAGGACAAGAGGTATGTAAGGGTGTTTTCGTCATTTACACTTCAAAAAGCCCTAAATTAGTTACAGGTTGTTGTTTTGTTTGATTAGTTCAGAGGTTTGTGTCTGAGTTTTACT